CAAAGAGCAGAACTTGTGTCCTCATATAAAGATGGTCAACATCGTTTTTCAGGATGTGAACAGCAAATGGTTATAATCAATGGACACGGTGACTCGCACCAGTAGATTAACTCTCACGTTAACGCAACTTCCCAAAAGCGGGTCGGATCTAACTTCCAAAATCGGTTAAAGTAAATCTTACTTAGTTCTTACTTTGTTCTGGCAGAAAAATCAAACTCCAGAGCAGTTTGAGCCAACGAGCTCTCCGCTGCGCAGCCATGCTGTTCTGCTGCTCACGTGTGAGCGCGAGCGGGAGAAGGCTGTGCACCGGAGAACTCTGACCGACTAGAAAACGTCCCCTCAACTAAGGTTCCTACCTCAGCGTCACGAAGTGACACAAAAGCAACCAGACAGAGCCTCGTTCTTTTCCTTTTTAAGTACTTCTGATTAATGAGTATATTTATAATATTTTATCTAAAAATGTCATGCTTAATTGTTTTGTCTTAGTTTCTTTTTTATTGTATAATCTTAAATCAAGCTGTGGACAGTATACCAAAAAGTAGAATAAAAAAGAAAAGAAAAAACAGCTGCATCAAATATTAAAATTGATTCAATTTGCTTGTTTTTTCAACATAATTTGAAAGTTAAAGGCTCGTGCCAGAAGGGAACACATACCTTCTAAAAATGCATTATACGGTCATTACATCTAATAATAAATAAGCTTTATTTGATCTATTTAGGAAATCACTGCAGAAGTTTCTAACAAGTTACGATTAGACTAAAACGACCACAACTATTACATTTTATAGGAAACAATAAATAAACTGAGAAGTTGTTTCTACAGAACCTCACACACTCTCTAAATACAAAAAAAAGGGAAAAAAATAGAAAGAAAACCAGGAGTATGTTGTGAGTATCTTTTAAATGCCACATTTAACTTTAAATCTCATCGTCTTAATGACATAACTGTGAATGTTTCCCCGTCATAAAAGCCTCTTTTAGGTATTAATCAGAAAAAAAGGATATCTAGTTTGCCAATTTAAAGAAAAAAAAGCTTTCTATTTTCATGAACAGCTCGAGAAAAAAAACTTTTTAAAAAACTAAAAAAAAATCAAGAGATAATAAAGAAATGGCTTTAAATTATGACGCAAAACTGTCAGCGTGTTTAATGTGGTTCTGCTGTTTAGCTGGTGTTTCTGGGAGGGATTCAGGAGGGCTACCAACCTGCTGGATCCCCAGGCAGAGGTAGAGGATGCTGTCCGGCGAGTAGCGCTCCCCGTTGGGCCTGCAGACCTCCCGGACAAACTGGGACAGAGCCACGTTCAGCTCCTCGGGGCTCAGAGCGAGCAGGTTGCTTTTAGGCCGCGCTGCAGCAGACGGAAAAAACAGAAAACCACTGCATATCAACACACAAACTCCAGGCTGTTCCCCCACATCCAGCCCTCTGAGAAGGTAAGCGACTGTTTTTTTTTGGCTTACCTGGTTTGGAGCCATCCTCCACGTCGGCGTCCTCCAGCTGGGAGGGGACGGACAGCGCCCAGCGTTTCCAGGCATTGATCCCATAGCGAGCTTTCAGAGGCAGCCGGGGAGCCTCCGGGGAGCCGATGGGTGGATGGGAATTGGTGGCTGAAGCCTCCTCTACCGCCTGCCGCTTGTTGCCCTGCCAACGCAAACACTCCGGATACATAAAACTAGCTCGGCTGGCGAAGCGAAGGCTCTAAATATGGGCGTGTGCATACCAGTGTCCTCGGCTGTGGGCGAGGGGCCGACTCCTCCAGCTCCTCTTTCTCCTCCGTCAGGACCGGAGGCAGAGAGAAGCCCATTTCCTCGTCCGTTCCCTCCAGAACAGGAGCAGGATCTGAGGCTGAGACAGGACGCAGTGTTATTTTATTTGGACTTTTTGTGGATCGTCGGTAACAGTCCACCTTTTGCTGACTACATTCATCTGATTCCAAACATCTGGGGCTCACAAGATGCCTAAAAAGTGGCAAAATGGCAACATCTTCCTTTAAATTTCTGCATTAAAATCACTAAATTTCCAAAGAAAAACAGGCTTAATGATGTTCACCAGTTTAAATGCTGTCAGTTAAGAGCAATCATATTAATAACTGGTTAATAACTCCATGTAGACAAGAGTGCCAAAAAGCTAAAAGTCCTGACAGTTTTGAGGTGTTCAAGGTTAAAAAATAAACAGGGGGAAGAATCTTAATGCCTGCACTGCTCCATTAAAACATGGAAAAAACAAACACTATCAGATGTCGTTACATAAGAGCCACAGAATGAGTAAGAAGGGATTAGTCATCATGGGCCCTTCAGTCTAAGTGATTTCATTTTGAGAGCATTTGCTCATATCCTTGACATTTAAACTTAGATGGAACTAAGTAAACGAATAAAATGCCTTTCGATTTTGGTTTTCTCGTCGGCGGGGAAAAATGCGAGTCAATGAGTGAGTAAGTGAGACTATTACAGTTTTTATTGACCAACAAAGGAAGGAGGAGGATAACTCTCCTGCTCTGAGTCTGGCTGCTGTAACACAGGGACGGTCATCAGTTTACCTACCTTGAGGAAAGTCTGCCTCCAGGTCCAGGTCGGGCTCGTACTTTTCCTCCTCCAGCTGCTGCTCCTCTTCCTCAGAGTGGCTGCTGTGGGGGGACTCCCCGCCATCTCGCTCCCTTTTCAGCTTTATCTGCTTCACATCTGAAAAGCAGTCATCAATTTGAAGCGTTTTTACAGCACTTCCTGTAACGCAGCTCGTGTTGAGACTAGGGATTTCATTATCCAGCTTTTTTTACATTTGGATCAGATCCCAGCGTATCAGAGCATATATTAAAGTTTAATTAATACAAAGTTATTAATAATTAAACTTATTTATTCTACTTATTTAGTTGTCAGACTCATATTGAACAGGGATTTACTCTTATAAACAACTTAATGGTTAGGACACAGACCTGTGGGTCAGGAGATGCTAATGCTAATGTGGGATCGGACTTTAAAAAAAAAAAAAACTGGATCTGGAGTCTGGACCTGCATTTCCTCCTGCCGGCATTTTTTTGCAAATATCGGCGGCCGATCCGATCCAAATATCGGATCGGGACAAGCCTAGTTAAGAACCATCCAGCTGCCAGAATCCTGTTATTCCACATCCACCATCACGCACCTGGCTTTTGGTCACATGAGGCCGTGTCGGCCTCAGAGATCAGGTTAGACTCCAGGGGGGTGGAGGGAGCTTCCTTTTTCAGATCTTTCATGCTCTGAAGGATCTGCTCTGCCCCCTGCAGGGTGGTGGGCATAAATACAGGCACAGGAATCTGGGGGGAACAAGACATTAAGTTTTATTAGTATTCAGACTTCTGTGACCAATAAACGTGTTTCTCTTAACTTTGTGTCAACCGACGGGGGTGTCTTACCGGTACAGGCAAAGAAACGGGGGTGGGGGTGACCTGGGAATACATGTTCATGGGCATGGGGATGAAGACGGGCACAGGTATCGGGACAGGAACATACTCCCTCTTAACGCCATCATCCACATCTGTGAACATGCACAGACCAACAGCTTAGGAAAATCAGTGGATGTATTAATGGTTTAGCCCTATAACGCCAAATGTATCATATCTGATTCACACGGTTTCTGAAGTCTTTTGGATCTGAGACTTTTTGCATCATTCAGTGGTAAATGCTTTGCTCAAACCCCTGTTGTACACATTCAGATATACCTGATAACAGCCAGTAGAAGACTACACTAGACTTATTGCACGCTAATTTGATCAATTTCAGTTTTTTCCTTTCTTCATATGTTGTTGAGGGGCCAAAGAAAGACTTCAGACTAAAAAAATCCTATATTCTTCCTATTTTGTCTTGGATCAGGCTTTAAAGCGTTAAGCACTTCCATCTCCCTGACTTGGATCACGTCTCTGCTTTAACCCTCATCAGTCGGGGTGGGAAACTTATTGATTTAGCAAATATATACCAATGGCACTAATACCTGTGCTTGAGGTACATATGAGCTTTTAAATCCATCTGGACTTGTTTGACCCCATTGAGCTGTGCAAACATTTGACATAAAATAACATCATATTTCTTATCTGTCTCTCTGTTGCTGTTCAGGTTTATATCAGGATGCCACACAAAGGATGGGAAATTACTCCTGGACTCTCGTGTCATCGTGTATTGCCTAAAGGCCTCTTTTACCTGTCTGCAGAGGCTTGCTCTGCATGTGCGGCTTGCAGTAGGTGGCTTTGGTTAAGGTGAGCGGCTTGCAGAGGACCGCCTTGTTCTTCACGTCTCTCACCAAGCCCCCGGTGCTGTACACTGAGGTGCTCTGGTTCATCAGCTGAGCAGAGAAGAGGAAAAGGCATTCGTTTTTACACAATAAGGGACAGTGCTGAGTAAAGCTGCAAAACAAAAATAATTCAAGGCATTTCCAAACACAGAAAGTTGGTGAGATTTCGTGCACTTTAAATGGAGACAGTTCATTTTAATTAATTGATTTTAACAGTTAATTTACTGTTAATTTGAGTTAATTTATCTGAAATGACGAGGTTTTTCTTACCCCGAGTTTGGCCCCTTGAACTTCTGACCCTGTGAGAGAGTAAAGGAAACCATCAGAGGTTGAAAAAGAGCGGCACAAACACACTTTTGGTCGGACAGTTGCGGTTGACTGAGCTGTTTCATCAAATTACTGGCTGACCTGCATCTGAGGCTACGTGAGAACACACTAAAGACACTTAGCAGTTAATTTTACATGCAAACATAGACCAGCAGCAGCTCTAATGGAGATTTGGACGAGACTGCTGTTACAAAAAGGGGAATTTGTTGCATCGCATTTGCAAAAAGCTCGAGTGTTCTATGCGTGTTATGCATATGTATAAGTTAGTATATGCGTTTACATGCAGGTGTATTTAATCCAGTTTTTGGTCAGGTAGTGAGGTTTAAATGACTTTTAAAAGTGAGGTTTTAAACAAGTTAACACAATAATAAACCTTTACTGTTCTTACTCCAGTGTAAGAACAGAGTCAACACATCCCTGAACAGCCTTCACCAGCTCTAATTGGTTTGTATGGGGTAGGAATGTCCCGATCCAGCTTTTGTACTTCAGAGCATGTATTAAAGTTTACATTTATTTAGCCTACTTACTTAGTTGGCAGACTCATGTTGAACAGGGATTTACTCTGATAACAACTTAATGGTTAGGACACAGACCTGTGGGTTAGGAGATGCTAATGCTAATGCTCGTGTGTGATCGGACTTAAAAAAATAAATAAACTGGATCGGGAGTCTGGATCGGCATTTTCGGATGCATTTTTTTGCAAATATCGGCGGCCGATCTGAACCAAATTTCCTGATCCTTCAAACCAAATTTAGTCAGACTGCTGGCTCGTACCCCCGCTGGTGTTCTCCGGGCCCTTCTGTGTGACCATGATGGGCTCGTTCTGCTGGCAGTAGAACTTCAACAGACAGTCCTGGTCACAGAAATACTTCATCTCTGCCCTCCACATCACGGACTCCGTCAGGTTGCCCTGCACCTTGCAGCAGTCGCATCTCGCCGCCTGGTGGCCAAAAGCACGCCGTTTCAGGACACAAGTCACATTGCACCAAAGGGCTCCGATCTATCGGCAGTGAGCGCACCTTGTAGTACCAGTCGTGGAACTTCTTGGCACACCCCTCGCTGCAGAAGTCCCGAGTCATGCCGCCCATTTCCCGGGTCACTCCTCTCTTGCAGAGCTGGCTGCAGTGGTTACAGCTCACACACTTCAGGCCGAGCCTCCGGATAAAGTCCTGCTTAAACAGCAGCTTACAACCTGCACACACACGGCAGGGTAAAGAAAAAGAGAAGCAGAGATAGCCGATGAGAAAAAGCTTAAAAACAATAGGCTGAAAGGGGAATAATATGTGTGGGATTCATCGAGGTTTGGCACCTTCACTGCAGAACGGCTTCTTGACCCCGGAAAACTTGACCATCTCATGAAGCGTCTTCTCCTCTTGGCAGTATTCACAGAAAGTCACAATGCAGTGGAGCTTTTTGTAGTCCTCACAGCACGTTTTGCTACAGAACTGATAGACCTTATCCTGAAGGCACAGACATTTCAACCACATATGAGTTCACAGCATTTATATGTTAAATATTTATATAACTAAATAATGACTCAATCAGAAATAACACTATTAATATACATCTAGTTTTTCTTATTCTGCCCAGTTTATTGCTCCACAAAATTTAACTGTGGAGTAAATATTTGATCTGTTTGGCCAATATAAAGCCCAGAATCTATTTAGAAAAAACAGGTTTCTATTTTCACAAATTTTCTGAACAGAATATATCCAGAAACACACCAAAAAAAGAAAACAACAGTTGTGTTATCCTGACTGACAAACGCTTTCATGAACGCTGATGTTTAAAGAACATAGTCAGGGAAACTTGAGGTAAAAAGGAGGAGGAATAAAAGATGCTCCCACCTCCCACTCCAGAATTTCTGGCTTCAAGCTGAACGCCCCTCGACAGTAGTTACATTTAAGCTGGATGCTGTTTGTGGTGCAGAGCGCCGTCTGTCCGTTGGTGGCCGTTTGAAGAGCAGCGTTCTGTCGACGAGCAAAACAGAAAAGAGGAGTTGACTGAAAACTGCCATGTGACTGAACGAATTAGGTTCCTCAAACGCGCTGGTTACTCGTTTCATAACATCAGGCAAGTTAGTCTGAAGAAAATCCATGCCCCAAAAAGCATATCAGACCACACACTAGGGATGTCCCGATCCAGCTTTTTTCACTTCCAATCCTGGCCTATCAGAGCTTGTATTAAAGTGTAAAGTTATTCATTCTACTTACTTAGTTGTCAGACTCATGTTGAACAGGGATTTACTCTGATAACTTAATGGTTAGGACACAGACCTGTGGGTTAGGATATGCTAATGCTAATGCTAATGTGAGATTGGATTCTTAAAAAAACTGGATCAGGAGTCTGGATCTGCATTTTCTCCTGCCCTGCCAATACGCATTTTTTGGAAATATCAGCGGCCGATCCGATCCAGATATCGGATCGGGACAAGCCTACCACACACTCTGCTTTCATTTGATGATTTCCGCCATTTCAGACATCAAAAGCCGCATCTATCGGCACTTTCATCTTTGATCCTTTTATCTGAGCGCCTTTGTTGAAGCGACCTGGTGCGAACATCATCGTGCACGAGCCGCCAAACCAGAGGACGCCCGCGGCTGTGGGTCTGCAACGCGGAGGCCCGACGGCAGGGAATCACGTTTGGGAATCACCTGGAACTTGGTGACACACTGGGAGCTGCAGAAGTTGAGGATGTCGCCCTCTGGCAGCGTGGCCTGGTACTGCGGTAAAGAGTTCCTCTTGCAGAAATGACACGTGGGCTCCGTGCCTGCACCGAAAGAGAGAAAATGTATCAGGTTCCTGCAATAATAACAGATAAACAACTAGGAATGAGTGCAGTAAGTAGTTAGAAACCCCATTCTGTCTCTACTTTTGTCTGTGTGATACAGAGAGAACCATTCATCCTTATCTGTATATCCTGTGGAATTACAGATGTTTAGCTAGACAATGCTGTTGTCTAGCTAGCAGATAGCGGGAGATGACCGGTGTATTGTTTAACAATTAAAATAACAATAAAAAATAGAATTGAAAAAAAAGAAAAGAAACCCCACTTTGTCTTTATTTTTGTGTGTGATAATAGAGAGAACTATTCATCCTTATCTGTATATCCTGTGGAATTGCGGATGTCTTGCTAGACAATGCTGTTGTTTAGCTAGCAGATAGCGGGAGATGACTGATGTATTGTTTAACAATGAAAATAACAATAAAAATATAATTGGAAAAAAAAAGAAACCCCAATTTTTTGGGAGGTAGTTTTTTCCTTATATCCCAAAAGCCTGACAACAATCAATCAACCAGGCAGAAAACTGAACTCTGAACATCCAAAAATCCTGTGCAAACCCGCTAAACGTGCAGGTGAACGGCTCGTTTCCACTCACTGAGGATGGAGGAGGGCGCCAGCTTGCCTTTGTTCATGCAGCTAACGGAGCAGTAGGAGCCCACGGAGCCGCTGGAGCCCAGGCTGTGCAGCACCTCGCCCGTCTTGATCAGCGTTTTGCACGTCAGGCAGCTGGCCAGTTTACTGTGGGCCTGCAAAGGAGAGCATGCTCACGTCAAAACAACGACCACGTGAAGACAGAGAGGAGACCAACTACTCACAGAGATCACAAAACAGCAAAAAAAGCTAATTCAAGGGAGCCCTGGGGGATATTTGTGGAGTTTTACTTGGCCGTCAGGTTTAAGCTAACTCAGCTGAATGTAAAGCTAGCACTTAGCCATCTATAAATAATAATAATAATAAATAATAAATAATCTGGTTTTTAACATGGGAAGAAAAGTCCTTTTGAAGCTTTCAATATAACCTTAGCTTAATTGCTGAATTAATTGAGCCACAGCAGAAGACCTGCTGCAACTTTACACCCATTTCTTCGAATAAACAAGAGAAACAATTATTTCCACTGATGAAACTGGAGAATGTCAGGAGATTGAGGTCAGGATGTTGTCTAAAGCTGCCTGTGCACAGAAATAAATGCAATGAAAAAGTAGAAATGCAGAAAGTTTTACACCATGGAAACAGCTGCGTTTTCATTAGGGAAGAATTAAGTCCCAAATCAGGTGGAAATTTGTGTGACATTTTTGTAGAATTCAGAGTTTATGATTCGATTCATTCACAAAGCTGCAATCTGCTTTCTGACAGAAACACTTCGGCTTGGGCCTGGATGCTGCATTTTACCTGGTCGTCAGGTTTAAGCTAACTCAGCTAAATGAAAAGCCATCACTTAGCCATCTACAAAATGTCTGGTTGTTAACATGGGAAGAAAAGTCCTTTTGAAGCTTTCAATATAACCTTAGCTTAATTGCTGAATTAATTGAGCCACAGCTGAAAACCTGCTGCAACTTTACACCCATTTCTTCGAATAAACAAAATAAACAATTATTTCCACTGATGAAACTGGAGAATTTCAGGAGATTGAGGTCAGGAAGTTGTCTAAAGCTGCCTGTCCACAGAAATAAATGCAATCAAACTTAGAAATGCAGAACATTTTACACCATGGAAACAGCTGCGTTTTCATTAGGGAAGAATAAAGTCCCAAATCAGGTGGAAATTTGTCTGATATTTGTGTACATACCAGAGTTTATGATTCGATTAATTCACAAAGCTGCTATCTGCTTTCTGACAAAAACACTTTGGCTTGAGCCTGGATGCTGCATTTTGCCTGGTCGTCAGGTTTAAGCTAACTCAGCTGAATGGAAAGCTATCACTTAGCCATCTATAAACTATCTGGTTGTTAACATGGGAAGAAAAGTCCTTTTGAAGCTTTTAATATAACATTTACTTAATTGCTGAATTAACTGAGCCACAGCTGAAGACCTGCTGCAACCTTACACCCATTTCTTCTAAATAAAACAAAATAAACAATTATTTCCACTGATGAAACTGGAAAATTTCAGGAGATTGAGGTCAGGAAGTTGTCTAAAGCTGCCTGTCCGTAGAAATAAAAGCAATGAAAAAGTAGAAAAGCAGAACATTTTACACCATGAAAACAGCTGCGTTTTCATTAGGGAAGAATTAAGTCCCAAATCAGGTGGATATTTGGGTGATATTTGTGAAGTTTATGTAGAATCCAGAGTTTATGATTCGATTAATTCACAAAGCTGCTATCTGCTTTCTGACAGAAACAATTCGGCTTGGGCCTGGATGCTATCACTTAAGACTCCGAGTGCGTTACCAGCTTGAAGTCCCTGATGCAGTTCTGGCAGCAGAAGCGTTTCTGCTGGCCGTCGACCAGTAAGGCGTGGTTGGCCGACGCCCGGGTGGGCAGGTAGTCGCCACACTGCTCGCAGCAGTTCATGATGAGCCCGTTGGCCCGCCGGTACACGTTGAAACAGGTGTCGCTGCACATCTTATGGGTCACAGTCTTAAAGCTAACCTCATGCCGAATCTGTGGACAGTGAGGAGGGGGACACAGAGCAACCACCAAAACTTAGTTTAGCTTTTAGAATAAACTTCTCCCTGTTAGCATGAATGTGTGGCACACATTAGCAATTGTTATTATAATGCTCAGGCACAAAAAAAACTATTTCAAATCAGACATCTCTGACACAGCGGTGAATAGCAGCAAAAACGCAGGAAGAACCATAAAAGGAGCGAAGCAACAAAGCAGCAAGAACCTACGAGAGACACTAAACTTGTATAAATGAGTTTGGTTCAAGTCATTTACCAGAAGCATTTCTTTCAGCAAATAAAACCATAAAAGCCCAAATATAGACACAAATGTACAGGCAAACCACAGTCTTTTACTGAAGGATCAGCTATATTATTTGGCCTCGGTCTGACATTTAGTTCCTGTTTAACACAACAAATTGTATTTAACCCAAAAACAAGCAATAAAATCACATCTATGCCCCTAAAATGACTGTTTTTGCCCTGACGTCCTGGTGAAAACAGGCCCTGTAAGGCCATTCTGAGAAAGTGGGATGGAGTAAACAAAGGAAGGGCAGAGCGAGAAGAAGATAAAGATAGATGCCGAGTTACCCGAGTACGAGGACAATAAAGTGGAGGAAAAGACAGAGGCAGTGAAATGGTGCTGAGGGATAACATATGAAGACAAGATAGAGAAGTAATGTTTAAACTAAGAGTGAAAACGAAGCCTACCTACAGCCGTGTTAGCAGCCCTGAGGCTCTCTGGACTTCAGCACTGTTCTGCGCAGTCTGAGGGAGTATTGGAGCTACTTGGCATGCAGAAAGCAGATGTGCACATGCTTCTTTACACATCCAGTTTAAAGCTCCGGCATATTTTCTAGGGAGCATTCCCACATGGATCCTTCGGCCCATGTGTGACACCTCAGTAAGTCCACGTCTAATATTAGTACAAGTATGTGGGGAATTATGTGCTGTCAAAGTCTGAAAAATAACAAAATGTGGAAAACTTAAAATGGTCTGAAAGCTCTCCATTTAATTGAGAATTTCATCTCCATTAACATACAGATGCAACTTGCGAGGAGTGCCGAGACCCATTTAAGTCTAGTACTCATTTAGGAGTAACTGATCATATAAATTTGGTCAAACAATCACTTCCTTTGTTTTTATCATTTTATAAACACTCTTCCTGTTGGGGATCCCTCTAATTGGCTATCCAGTGTAACGCACACATCGTAAAAAACACTTTAAAGTCAACTCCATGTAGTTTCTTTGGGATTTTTTTTAAGCAAAAAACGGTTAAACGCCTGATAAATAAATGCATCTACAAAAAAATGTATGTTGTGTGTTAGTTAAAAACAGAGAGGTGGATTTCTGAGAGGCCTAAACATCCTTAAGTGCCCTCATCTGAGCTGGTTCCACATTAAAAACCGAACGATTAACAAGCCTTGTGCAAATAATGTCCATTTCTAATTTCTTTCTTTGCAGTCATCCAGTTCCCCGTTAACAAAACATCCACAGATTGCTGCTTCTCGGGGCTTTGCCAATCGTTGGCTCTCAGCTGTGAGGGCCTAACGGCTGAAAGGTAAAGAAAAGAGATGAACATCTGCTGTTTGGCGCGTCGGACAGACTAACCTCTGTGAGCTTGCCGCAAACAGTGCATTTGGTTTTGAGGCCTGATTTGGGGGGGTTCTGCTTGTTCTCGTATGCACCCAAGCAGCTGGTGTTGCAGAACTCTTGGAAAGACTCGCTGGAGTCCACCTGGGCCACGATTGTACCCTTTATGTTCGTGATGTCCCTGGAAAACACAAACGCATCGCATGGCAAAGGTGAATTGACACGGAAAAGCCTCCAAATTAGGCGTCATCGGGTTCACGGTGGACTAGGCTTGTCCCGATTCGATATCTGGATCTGATCGGCCAACGATATTTGCAAAAAAATGCGTATCGGCCGGCAGGAGAAAACGCAGATCCAGACTTCAGATCCTGTTTTTTTTTTTTTTTTAAGCCCGATCCCACACGAGCATTAGCATTAGCATCTCCTACCCCACATGTCTGTGTCCTAACCATTAAGTTGTTTTCATAGTAAATCCCTGTTCAACATGAGTCTCACAACTAAGTAAGTAGGCTAAATAACTTCAAACTTTTATCTATGCTCTGATAAGCCGGGATCGGGATCGGATCAGAAGTGAAAAAAGCTGGATCGAGAGCCTTTTATTTTCTTTATCGACGCTTAAAAAGCTGCGTGCACTGCACCAGCTCCCGCTTAAAAGGGACTGAGACGCTCACTTTTTACACATGGTGCAGCTCTTCTTGGGGGTGGGTTTGTGTGAGAAGGCAGAGAGACAGGTGGTGGAGCAGAACAGGTGTGTGGAGCCTTTGCGCTGGTAGGCTGTTTGGCCCTTCTTCAGGGGCTTTTTACAGTTAGCGCAGGTCACCTGGAAGGAGAAAAAACAAGGAATTAACTAAGGAGGAACTTTCACAGAAGGCAATGAAGAAATTATAACCTAGCGCAGTCGGAAACGCTGGACAGGCTCCTTTTGGCCAAACAAAACAATGGCTAGCGGGTCAGAAACAGGATTCTGGGATAAGCCACAGTGTGCATTTTAACTATTTGATCTCCAGAGGGGTGTGTTCATGTTTTCCTCCATGCAACAAGTCGGCCCTTTTTTTGTGACTGCAGAGGTGCTCCCTGACCTTTGTGGATTACCTTGACTGTCCTGGGCTGTGCCTGGGAGCCTGAGGAGGAAGTGGACGAGGAAGACTGGCCTGCAGGTTTGGGAAGAGAAGTGGCCGGAGAGGGAGAGTCCACCCCCGTCTGCTTTTGGTTGCGGGGGACCGAGGCGGACTGGGAGATCCAGGAGTCTGCAGGAAGATACAGAGAAAAGGCTCTAAATGGTGATCATTCAAAGCCTGTTTCAGTCCAACTAAAATAACCAGAGAAAATTAAATCAACAACAAACAAAGACAGCCAAAAGTTTTCGCTCATTGTTAAAAATGTTTAATTCTCAAGTATTAACTGACTCTTTTTTAACGATTCTAACTGTTTATCCATTGTTTTTTTTTCATTATAGGGCTTGAACATTTCCTGAAATGAAGTTTTATTCTAGCCACATGACAGGAAAATTACATATAGACTAGCATCACAGACACTGTTCACTGCATGGCAACTATAAACTATCTGGTTGTTAACACAGGAAGAAAAGTCCTTTTGAAGCTTTTAATGTAAAATTTACTTAATTGCTGAATTAATTGAGCCACAGCTGAAGACCTGCTGCAACCTTACACCCATTTCTTCGAATAAACAAAAGAAACAATTATTCCTACTGATGAAACTGGAAAATTTCAGGAGATTGAGGTCAGGATGTTGTCTAAAGCTGCCTGTCCACAGAAATAAAAGCAATAAAAAGTAGAAACGCAGAACATTTTACACCATGGAAACAGCTGCGTTTTCATCAGGGAAGAATTAAGTCCCAAATCAGGTGGAAAACTGTCCTCTCGTTATAAAGTTGCCTGGTGCTATCTTCCCTAAAATGATGGATAGTTTCACATTAATAAAAGCAAAAGATGCTTTCAGTCTCTTTGGTTCCCTCTTCATGGACCGAACCCTGCGTGGGGCTTCTTTCCCCTCCGGTTTTGCGTCCCCGTTACCTGCTCGGCTGTGCGTCCCCGTGTCTCCGTTCTGAACCAGCTGGCTGACGGAGCCCCGCCCCGGGTTGAAGGAGGCGGTCGGTCGAGCAGACGGGTTGTCGGGATTGAGGCTGAAGGCACTGCTGATCTGCAGACCGTTTTCCTCCGCCTGGCCTTCACCTGCCTGGACACAGACTGGGGTCGTCACGATACTAAAATGTTCAACTCGATACCGATACTCAGGAAAATAAGCGATACTCGATACCATTTTCCATACTACAAAGACCTCAAAATTTAACTGAATTTCGACAGGTTAGTGTCTTTCGTTTTAAACTTATCGCTGATACTGAACACATTAATGTTGGTGTGTTGTTATTAGCCATTAGCCGCAGCTAGCAATTCAAGGCTAACGTCACGTTAATGATCATAAACAGCAGAAATAAATAAATCAGAGAGAAGGGGCGCAGGGGGAGAGGGGTAATCGATACTATTGAAAATGAGTATTGTATCCGGATACAACGTTTTAGTATCGATGATTTTGACAACCCTAACACAGACACTCCAGAGTTTATAGGTTTTTCTGTGCTCCCAAGCTAGAGTAGAGCTGTAAAAAGCTGAACCCATTCAAGCCCAAGCAGAAGTTAAAGGGGCTGCCAAGGGTTTGCTGGATAAATAGATTCCCATCAAATGGAGTCAACCTGCTTTTTGTCTGTGTGAACAGTGGATGTGGGCAGCTCACCATGACGGCTGTGGCTCCGCCCTGCAGTGATGTCCCCGAGGTTATCATGATTAATGTTGGCGTGTTGTTATTAGCCATTAGCCGCAGCTAGCAATTCAAGGTTAACATCACGTTAATGATCATAAACAACAGAAATAAATAAATCAGAGAGAAGGGGCGCAGGGGGAGGGGCGGGGGGGTATCGATACTTTTGAAAATGAGTATCATATCCGGATACAACGTTTTAGTATCAATACTTTTGACAACCCTAACAAAGACACCCCGGAGTTTAGAGGTTTCTCTGTGCTCCCGAGAAAGTAGAGCTCGAAAAAAGCTGAACCCAAGCAGAAGTTAATGGGACTGCCAAGGGTTTGCTGGATAAATAGATTCCCATCAAATGTCTTTTTGTCTGTGTGAACAGTGGATGTGAGCGGCTCACCACGACGGCTGTGGCTCCGCCCTGCAGTGATGTCACAGAGGTTATCATCAGGTTCATGTCCGCCTGGACGTCCGCCGCCTCCGGGGGCGTGCCGGCGGCGGCGCCCCCCCGCCGGCCGCCGGGGCCCAGCGTGGTGACGCTGGCGATCCTGATCTCGGAGTCGGGCTCCGTGCAGCTGAGGGCGCCGGGGGACTGTGGGGCCCCCTCCCCGGGGGGGGCTGGGGAGGGGGCCCCCTTCTGTCCGGACTCCTCCTCGTCGTCGATGACGATGGGCTCCAGCGCCGCCGTCGCCGTGGACGCCGCAGTGGAAGACACGGGAGAACTGGGAGTCCTGGAAGGCATCGTTGCCGTGTCCACCGTTGCTACAGCTACAGCAGCAGCCGGCGGCTCCTGGAGGCAGTCTGTGCTGGGAGTGTCTTCCTCCTCCCCGACCAGGACCACGTCGTCGTCGTCGTGGTCCTCGGCGACGCCCTCCGCCGGGGCTGCCGCTCCGGTTGCCGCGGAAACCGTCTCCCCGGACTCCTCAGCGGGGGGCGTGGCCGATGGTGGTGGTGGCGGTGGGTTTGGGGAGGGAGTGGCATCCCTGGGCTCCACCTGCTCGCCTGCCTCTTCTGCCACGACAGGGCTCGGTTCTGACTCCCCATCCATCACTAAGGCAGCTACCTGGTGACAAACAAACAAACAAAAAAAAAAAGGCGTAATTAGGGGGAAACCGGCAATTAGGTAGAGCAGGTATCCCCCAGAGGAGAGCCCCCCCCAACCCCCCGGAGCCTCCATGTGTCTGGTGCAGACTCGCTTTCATGGTTGTGTCAAACTCGTATATTTCCTTCTGAATTTGGCTCAACTGACCCCTGGAAACACAGGCCTGCCCCAGATATGATCAATTCCCATGAAAAAAAAAAAGGGAAAAAAAAGCAGCTTCCTGCTCTGATTTCACAGGATGCTCCGCTTACAGTCGCAGTCAAAATGGATGCCGTGACGACGCAGGGCCTCATTTAGGTCACTGGTGTCCACTCAGACTCATAATGAGCCCACTGCGATTGGGAGCAGCTCAGTAGACGGCTGTGCGCAAAATGTCAACTATTAAAACACCATAAAAAGAATCAATAACTCCACTATTTCCTCCATCTGGCTCTGGGCAGCAGCAAAGACTTGAAACCCGACAACAACGATGAGTTTTCTTACAATCACATTACTGGGGGAATCTAAATTAAATTAGCCAGTGTGTAAATACATTTATAGGAAAGCTTTTTCTAAAAATAAGCAGAGTTTCTCTACAAGTGATTTTTCCACGATTTCTTATCTGATGAGAGTTATTCTTTCAATGCTTCAGAAAAGTCTTATAACCGATGGAGTTGGGGGATAGAGGAGGTGATGCTCATGAGGACCAGGAGGTCCCAGAAGTCCCACCCGGAAAACTCAGCTCCTCCTCCTGCTGCTCCTTCTATCCCCTCTCTGGGGCAACACAGTGCTCCTCTCACGTTTCACATCTCCAGCTACACTCCCGTCTCCCTTGGCAACCGGTGATGCTACACCCTGGTTGCCGGGGGGACGGCGAGGACTACCCGAAGGGACTGGCTCCTCCCGCTCTGCATGTGGGTGAACTAGCAAAGAGGGCACTGGAGTGTAGGCTGGTCCCGATCCGATATCTGGATTGAATCGGCCAACGATATTTGCAAAAAAATGTGTATCGCAGATCCAGACTCCAGATCTAGTTTTTATTTCAAGTCCGATCCCACACGAGCATTAGCATTAGCATCTCCTAACCCACAGGTCTGAGTCCTAACCATTAAGTTGTTATCAGAGTAAATCCCTGTTCAAAATGAGTCTGCCAGCCAAGTAAGTAAATAAATAACTTTAAACTTTAACACATGCTCTTACAGGCCGGGATTGGGATCGAAATGTAAAAAAAGCTGGATGGGCACATCCCTACGATGGACTGGAATGTCACTTAGAAGATATATTAGCCTTTTATTTCTTTCATCAACACTTAAAAAGTGGTTCAGCTCCATCATCCAGCAAAGAGCAGCTTGATGCTCATCATGAAGACATCGGATCTGGGTGGTCCGAACCCAGTGGGGGCTTTTTAAAATGATCTTTCTAAAGTCCCAAACTGAAAAGGCGCAGAGTTTTTAAAAAAAGATGGCGTCTTATTTGTGCCACACTAGGAACCCGAATTTTAATCAAAGCACTTTGGCGGATGCATGCAGCCACCACTAAGCTGATCTGTTTCTGTCAAAATCTCCTTTTCATGTTGCAGAGCAGCGAGGGCGGCTGCGAGCCACAGATCACATCCCCGCCGACAGATGCGGGCTCACAGACACACGTCTGTGCACACGCCCGGATTTGTAGACGGGTTTTTTTTTCCCCCTCCGACAGAGTCACAGAACAGGAAGAACCTCGAAGCACCTGAACCGGGGCCTCTGAGCTGGAACAGAGCAGGCTCTGTGCTCCGGGGGGGGGGAACCAGGATGAGTCCACCACCTCGCTCCGGCCTCCCCGAGGCGGCCATTTTGGCTCCAGCTCCGAGCCGCGGGAGCATCTCGGAGGACGCGAGATGAGTCAGGAGCGCGTATGTAACTCCCGCAACTCCCAGATTTCAGCGCTCCTGCGGTGAGTGTCAAATGTCGCCTGGCAGATTTTTCTAAATCTGAGCCCGGAGCGCCGCTCTCAAACGAGCTCAGAGCCAGACGATGACCCTGGACCTCCCTGTGAAACGTCACGTGGTCACAAACTGGGACACGTCCCTCTGTAGCTGGTCACAACTCCTCAAAACTACCGAGATATTAAGCATAAAGTCGCGTCTAAATTAAGAGGTTTTCACCCAATTCCCCTCACATTTACCACATGGTGCAGTCCTGAAACGTCTCAAGCAGGAGATGAGGAAATTACAGACTTTTATACATCATTTTGTTTTAAATCTGTGTATTTCTTTTCCTGTAATAATGATTTTTGTCTACTTTATCAAGTCATCACTTTATAATATCAAACACAAACACAGAGGTCGTTGCTATAAAACGTTTGCTGTAAATATCGTTGCTGTAACCCAGATTCCCGACTTAACTAAAAAAAAAAACATGATTCATGCTTCGTTTTGTGCAATTATAAACAGACACAATGTGACTCGGCTAACAAACCCCGAAGCAGTTCTTTTTTATGTCTCATAAATATTCGGAGTGGGGTCCTGAATGAATGAGAAGAGCTCCAGCTGTGACAAAGGATCGCTTAAACACAAAAAAAAGTCTTCGATCTCAAGTGGTTTACTAGACGTTATATAAAACAACAAAAACAACTTTCAGAATTTGAGGCGATCCGTCTGCAGGCCGCTGTGCGGTCGGTGCCGTCTAAACTGATCTAATCTATCTTTACAATAGGTTTCATTCACCAAACCAAATTCAAGAACCAGCAGCCCCCCCCCCCTGCTTTACTGCTGAGTCTCATGTTGCCAGCATTTGGTTAAAAAAATTAATTAAAATGTCCTTGAACGCACCATAAGAATGACATATACACAGGAGGACATCTTTGAAGTGGCACTTTGCATTGAGGGGTTTACGCACACAAAACAAGGTTTGGGAAAAATCTGATCTCTACCAGACCAACTGAATCTCAAAACAAATACTTTTATTCAAAATACGTTAAAAAGACGAATTTCACTGAATCTTTTGGGCCGTTTTAGAAGCGTGTGCCCTTATTTGAGCATTTCATCTTCCCAAATCATTAAAAAATAATAATAAAATTAACCCATAACAGAGTTTTCTTCACCATGCTGAACAGCTAATGAGTGATTTCTTCCTCTGACAGACCCCACTCAGATTCAACATGCTGGGTTGTCTAAAGAGGGTGCAGACCGGGTTTAACAGAGCAGATGGCCTCAAACACAGAAAGAAAAGAGCAACAGATGTTTACTGACACTGGAGTTGATTTGGGGTGATTGTATTAAGCCCTTTAGACCCCTGTGGAATAGCAGTCACCGGGCTTCAAAGAAATCATTTCAATATCTCTATTTCTGGGCTAAGATGAGGACACTTGGAGAAATGTTTGTTGGTGGTGGGACACCCCAAAGGGCTTCAAGTTAAAACCACATTTGTGTAAAATCTAGATGTGTTGCCTTCTTGTTTTGGTCGGAGTGGAAGAAACAGAGTAGGAAAAGTTGGGAAAACTGTGTCCGATAGCAGGTGTGTCAGGTGTTTTCTCCAACCGGGACATTTGGTGAGAGGTGCCATGTTTGTGTTTCTCTGATGGTTCTCAACACAATAAGCATCAGAGTCTCAGATGGCTCTCACACAGAAACAATATGGCAATTACAAATTGATTTCAGCAAATACTGCTAATGACAGGCTGCAAAATAAAGATTTCTAAATAAATAAAAAAACAAGACGATAACCGGAGCAGGACCACATATCAATTTAGGGACTAAACCACAATCTGCATAAATAATTTTCTCCCATTAATTAAAACAAGATTTCCAATTAAGATCTTTATCTGGCGTTTAATTCCATCAACTTCCAGGTTTATATTCAACAACAATGAGACGCTCTCCATTAATGACAAACCACCCTAAAATGTCCTGATTTCTTTGTTTGATTCAACCTCCTTTGACCAACAAATCCACCAATTGTTGCAGGTTTACTTGCAGCTTTTAGCTAAATAGGATATTTTCCCCTTTCTCTAATCAAAATAACTCCTTCCATCCACAAAAGACTGACTGGTTCAGACACATCGGAGTCCAATTAATGCGAAATGTCAAATGCTTCTTTAAAAATGGATCAAAACTCTGCCCCTCTGAGGAAAAGCTGCATAAAATGTTTGCCTCAGAAGGTTTTATCTGCTGGGCT